GAGAAATGCCGCGACTGTTTCATGTTAGGAAACTGATGGCACCCCATGTTAAGTAGGCACTGTCCTTTGGCTATTGACGCAGTAAATCAGGAAACTCGTATACAAACATTTTATCGCCACCTCCGCTAAAACTTTGTTGGAACGAATTGAACTCTTTCCAGAAGCGGCACGCGCTCCGAAATTCTAGAAAAATAAAACAACTCCAATTGACACGTATTGGTGACATTGGAGGAAAACTGTGATGTTCGAGGGGCGTCTATTCATAGATAATTCGACACTTAAAAAGCCGAAAGGGTTTAATCGTTTCCCGCAGTTCATGCATTAAATGAAGAACTGATAACTGGAACTTTACACCATTGTAAAGTTCCGCATTGTTCAGACTCGTTCATTATGTGCTGGCAACTTTACAACAGATTTATTTTTTGTGATAATATAATAAGTCTTGTATATGCGGATAACCGGGCTATCTTATTGGCTTGCAATATTGAAAGTTAAATGTCTTATATCCGACACAAGTGTTCACGAGTTCACCACAGCAGAAGCAAAGTACCGTTGCATGACGTCAGTGGCGCGAACATGCCGTGATGTAATCAAATATCAGCTATTTTTGACCGCCTTACGTGAGGGAGTGTCAACGCCTACAGACTAGACTGAACTCTGTGGCGTTGTTATAAAACCCGATCTGACCCTCTAGGCAGCGCAGAAAAGCAACACTGAATGCGCAAAAATCAATTTGCCTGGATTTAAGATGAACAAACTTCTCGTGATTTTGGTAGCGCTTGTCGCGCTTCTGAGCCTCGTACAAAATGCTCCTGTCGGTCGCCAGCGAGGAAAAAACAAAAATAAGTTTAAAAAGGCTGGAAAGGTAAGAGAGAGTTAGCAACCTTTTCACTGAGAAATTACGGGTAAAATTACAATGTTCGACTGAAAGAAAGGAAGCGACTTTTGGTTCGAGTTATCGGGAGGTTCGAAAAGTGGATGGGTTCGAGAAATCGGAATTCCGTTGAAAGGAACAGCAAGACCAACTTTATAAAAGCGGTTAGCGTAGCAATCCTGATTGGATCCGCTCGCGCAAACAGAACGAGCAAACTATTAGTTTTGCCCCGAGGGAAAATGAACAGGCAAGAGAGAGACAGAGTTAAGAGTCTCAATGTGATGCCCTCCTGTCGCCATTGACCAATTCGATAAATCATTTTGAAAGTTGGATTCCTTCTGCACATACACATTGCATCTAGGAACAATCATTTTATGTTTTCAGGTTCTGTATAACTTGCTCACCTGTTTGGAATATAAGCAGTTCATTGTTGGTAAATCAATTCTCTTTCAGGCGGCAAAATTCTTACTCAAGTTCGGCTACCTCGACATTTTAAAAGAACAGGACAGCGCCGGTGCAAACGACCCAAGTTCACCCGCGTTCAAGAATGCAGTCAAGAGACTCCAGAGATTTGGAAATATTCCGGTGACAGGACTTATTGACAGCAAAACTCTAGAGTTAATCAGCAAATCAAGATGCGGCGTAAAGGACCCTAGCATGCCATCTTCAAGGAGAAAACGAAGCGTCGGAGAATTTAACTTGCAGGGAACCAAGTGGGAGAAATTGGTGTGTACCATTTTGCTTTCATGTTTTTATTCATGTCCTGAAAGGTAGTAAGCCAGAAGAAGCTCAAAACGTCCATAGACCCTAGTCATAAATGGCTGCCAATTTAAAATTATTTTGTATGTATTTAAATTAGCCCAACTAACTTCGTTTTGAGACTTAAAATTCTTTTGAATTATCAACTCAAAAACGAGGTAGGTTACGCTAGTTTTAATACTTACAAAAGAATTTTTAATTGGCAGCCATTTATAAACAGGATCTATAGAGCGATACAAGAACGTGAGCCAGCTTGATCACTGGAACATGTTCAAATCTTCTGAAAATTGAGAACGTTCGACCTCAATCCAATTAGTAATAATCTGGATCCTTTAGAGCGGTTTTCAACTGAGTGTTGAAAGTAATCAGTCAATTACTTCGGTTTGGTTTTGGTTTTACTGCGATATGAAATTGGCTGAGTAGTCTAATTGGTAAGTAATTGGTTTGTGTTTGGTTTTACGACACTTGATAAAATTGAAACCCGCTCCGTCTAGACTGAGGAATCCACGGTCCCAGCCGGATAGATTTTGTACGGTACTAGTAGCTTGGAGGACTCCCTCAACTATATAAAGACAGTTTTGGTGATCAGTTCATTAATTCTTATGACCTGTTTGATGGAATGAGTGTGTTAATCAGAATATGGAGAAATTTAGTTTCGATCCCTCTTAGGACTTACGGGTTATAAAAAGTGTATCAGTTGAAATGTCATATAGTGGAATCTCGAAAAACCGAAGGGCCAAGGGACTGGGGTTTTTTCGCTATAACGAGGAACGTTATATCGAGGTTGTTTACCATACATTTGACTATTCCTGGCGTAAAGAATATCGTTCTATATACTTTGTTATATTGAGGTCCGTTAAATCGAGGTTTCACAGTATCATGATTTTACAACCCCCGGGCCACTTTCAATTTTTTTCTCATCCTGATTTTCTTTGATTCGTTTTTCTGTTCTAGGATCTAACTTACAAGATTATTAACTATACCAATGACGGTATTACACGAGATGAACAACAACAGATCTTCCGCAGCGCGTTGAACTTGTGGCAGTCGGCATCCAGGTTACGATTCACAGAAGTTAACTCGGATGAGGCAGATATTCTTGTGAGCTTTGTCACGAAGACTCACGGAGACGGATATCCATTTGATGGGGAAGGGGGGACACTAGCACATGCGTTCTACCCTCACAACAACGAAGGTAAGGAATCTTCTTAAAAGATTACCCGAGAGAAACGTTCGCGTGAAAGTACCAGGGATGTTCGTTGGCAAATTTGGCATATAATCCTCAAAAGGATACCAAAATTTCCGGGATCATAGCAAGAAAGTTTCATACGGAGAGGCTCCACCCCGTGGTCCAAACTCTTACATTGATATACAGAAAGGGTGACCTTAATTTCACCTTCTGCAGAAAATGGTTCTCCTTTCTGCACATACGACCTGCAGTAAGCACGCTCCATCCCTTTTCTATAACTCGGATTGAATAACCCCGCATATTTTGAAGGGGCCTTTTGAATAACTAAATAGCAGTTGCCCTACCCTAATCTATTTTGCAACTCGTGAAATCCTCACTCTTTTGTATATCTCCCGCCTGGAAAGGTACCACTTTCAGACGATGCATATCCCTCTCTCTCTCCTTATGTCCATGACAAGGACAGAGAGAGAGAGAGAGAGAGAGAGAGAGAGAGAGAGAGAGAGAGAGAGAGAGAGAGAGAGAGAGAGAGAGGTGGGTGCTTATTCGAGGTTGGTCCAATCGAATAAATACGGTAAAAATGATCCCCCAAAAACAAATATAAGGCTACGTAGTACGTTTAACGAGGATATTCTTTAAGGAGTGAAAAATTAAACTCTTTCTCCTTTACGAACATCTTACAGTATTTACCTGTCACAATAAGTTGAACCATATTCAGGTGGTCTTGACCTGCACCAGGCTCAACAGATAGTTTGCATTGAAATCGCGTGTTGTCTTGATGAGATACATTCTCGTCATTCTCGACGATAAGAGTAGCATTTTCTTTAATACTTACTCTTCCTTTTTAAGCAGAAGGTATGTTTGAAAAGTTCAAAACAGCACCATCTTTTGTTTTCGCAATTATGCCAACAAAAAGGACAACCCTAAAACACGGAATCCCGAAACCGGAAACTGGAACCGGAACCCGGAACCCGGAATCCGGAACCGGAAACCGGAATCCCTTTTACTCGGCCTCTTACTTTTCACAAGCGAAAGCTATGCAACGTATCATTCGCGTATTTGAAGAACTTGTTTTATTTGATTTGTGGATTCCGGTTTCCGGTTCCCGGTTGCCGAATTCTTGATTCCGGGTTCTGGATTCTGGACTCCAGCTTCTGGATTCCAGATTCTGGATTCCAGATTCTGGATTTCATGTTTTAGCGTTGTCCCTAGGGAAGCGCATGCACGCAGTCACGTAGTCGCCATATCGATTCGAAGTGTGTATGATTTCTGCAAAGCTGCATGTATTTTGACCCGCTAGCCTTCGAAAACAAGTAACTTAATCCGCGTTATCAGGAAAAAATGTGTTGTAGCTCGACGACGGCATGTCTTGCAGGGTCGCTGGTCAAAACTTTATTTTCCAAAGAAATAAGCTTATTTGTTACAAGTGATAGCGATCTGAAAGTGAATTCTTAGTGTCGCCAACAAGTGAAATGCCTTTCCTGGAAAATATTTTGTCCAATATAAGTTAATACTTAATTGAAAACACTTTTAACGCAGAGTTCAACTTCACGTGCAGATCATTATCTGTCAGTCGATCTATAGAGCAATTCGAACGCCACCAAAGTAGACCAAACATGCAAAGTACTCGCGTGAACGCACTGCTCTAATCTTTGATTACTACTAGTAGCTTTCTAAAAGTCTCCAAGTCAGCTTAGGAGTCACATTCCATCTGTGCTGTTATTGATCATGAATTTCGTCATAACGTTGTCAAAGTAGCTGTTGATCCACGAGGCAATAGCCGAGTGGATCCGCAGACTACTTACAGTAATAATAATAATAATAATAATAATAATAATAAGAATAATAAACAATATTTAAAGAGGAAGCGCCCGTCACGTAAATACGTGGTTTTCAGGGAGGTCCTCTAGACAATGTTATGACGAATTTCGTTGGTAACGTGGGCTCTGGGAACGAGATTGCGTGCAAAGCCGGGAAAGGGGGTACTTCCTTGTATGGGCTATATAGGTACCTGTCGCCCCAGAGGGTATGGTTTGTCAGCCGTTTTGGTCATCATGAAATAGAGCGTCGGTTTTGGCCATTTTGGTCATAAACAGGGTATGGTTTTTGCACTCTAGTCTTGAATTGGTTATGTTTTTTAGACGAAGCTACTTTTTCATCATTATCGATAAGACCAACAACAAAAGCCCTTTATAAACTATGTTTAGGGCAACTGTGCTAGCCGCAACAGTCATAAATAGGGAATCCAGTTTTTTGTCAGGTCATAAATAGGGTAGGGAAAATCGCAGATTTTGGTCGTAAATAGGGTAAGGGTTATGAGAAGCGAGCCGCACACCCAAACCCAATTTTTCTGGGAGTACCCCCCTTCCCCGGGGTGCAAAGGAGAAAACTTGCTACGATTACTGTAACCTCAATCTTACTCCCCTGAAGACGAGCCCAAAGATTGTCTGCGTAGGAGGCTAGGATTACTGTAGATATATGCATTGTAAAATAGAGAGATTTTAGCCATGTAGATGATATCTTTACCTGACGGATTCTTCGTCATAAACATGATCCCTGTTTTCTGCCATGACTGGTAAAAACAACAAACAAACGCGCGGTCAAAAACGTGACCATAGCACAATCTGGTAACCGCGGGCAAGAGGATGTATCTCCTACCTTGACTTTGGTTAACACCTAAACCATGCCTGATTCACAGGGTAGTTTAGAAGCTTTTATACTATTGCCTCCTTCAAATTTCTATTGGCTTGCGTGGCCGACACATACCGATAACCAAGGTATGAGTTGCAACCTCGTTCCCAGGGCCTCGTATCTTACCGCCCCCTGGAGCGAAACATAGTTCTGAAGTTCTTTTTTCGACAAACGGGGGAAGGAAAAAGGAGAAAGAAGAACGTGTTCGCCAGTAACAAAAACTCTTGATTGGTTCATTGGTTCTAAATAGGTTCGCTTTACGCCACTCAGTCGATTTAAGGGGAGGAGCGCCTTTCTCGAAAAGCGGCTAGCCTGCGAGCGGCGAAGAGCAAAGCGATCTGGCGGGAAGTATTCTGGTGAAGAGGCGCCAAATCACTTTCTCGTCTCGCGGCCTCGCCGCTCGATTTCCCGCACGCGGCTACGCCGCGCGCACTTGTGCTCGTGCTCCAACGTGAGCCTGCTTGCACGCTAAAAAGAGACCAGTAATCGGGCTTAAAGTCATGTCGTAAATTAATTTTTTAAAAAGTAGTTAATAAATAGCATTTAATAATTAATCTAGTTATTCCTTTTTGGGAGGGTGGCCCATAGTGACGTAGCCCATGGGCAAGCTCAAGGGCCTGGGCCCAGGTTTTATCCACACGTTCATTCCTTCATTGTGACTTCATTCCTGAGCCGGGATAACTCAGTTGTGGTTCGTCTTCAAGTAAGATGGGTGCTGCAACGAGCCGCTTTAAAAGAAAGCACTCTTCATTCAGGAAAAGTGTTCACAAAGAGGAAGAGGCAGCTGCGCCGAAAATTGTCCTCTTCACTGGCTACTCTCACAAAATGAATCTGGCGTTTGCTTTGCCCTTCGCTGAAGACCCGCTTTCCAAATTTAAAGTGTTAGTTACGATGCCTTCTCTTTCAAGCAGTGAGTATTTAGCGGACTCCAGGGTTTTAAACCTGTTAAATAAGACGTTGTTTGTCCTTCAAATGGATATTGAATCGGACGAGTCTATCAACGGCGTCCTTCGAGAGATCATGGAAAATGATGGATTTATCGATGCTGTTGGTGAGTTGAGTTGTATAGATTATAAGTTGTGTAACATGCAAATGTAAGGACCTTGTTGTGATAATTTTTCTGTCACCTATACCTATAAATCATAGGTAACTGTGTCACCAGTTTTGTATTGTACAACACATTTGTTGTGTACACTGAAAAGGTTAGAAAAGTGGTTTAATTACGTGACTGCCTGGAGCTCACCGGTTGCCAAACTTGCCATCAGTTAACTGTCTTATCTCATGCAAACGCTTCAAACAAAATTTTAAACTCACTGAAGGTGTATTTCTACTAATTTTCACAGTTTTTTATACTCCCCTTTCGTTATTCAATATGTTTTTAAAAACATCTGGGGTATTCACTCATGTCCAATCAAAGAATAACATTCTTAAGTTTCCGGTTCAACAACTGTTTCACGCCTTTCCTGATTGCTGGCGAGTCTGTTGTCAATCCAACAGCCTCACCCTCCAGAAAAAGGCAACGAGAAAACTTCAAGTTCACTCGCTTGACTGTGGTAAGAAAAATGAATAAACATTTGTACTTATGTTAAATGTAAGCAAACAAACATATCTACAATTTCGTTCAAGAGTATCCTGGTCTCTAGAGTCAATTAATTGACCACAAATTTAAAGGTCACATCATGTAGACTATCTTCTTACATCATGCTGTCACGCTATTCCTATAAGCGTCATGACGTTAAGCACTGAATTCGCCAAGAAACATGATGCCTAACCCAGACGAGGATATCGCGATATATTTCATGTGAAAATAATATAACTAGTAGTTCCATAGTGGAAGTGAAGTGCTGCCCCATGTAGAAAGATGGTGGGGATGAGACGTGAAGATATCACATTGTGTTGGAGATCGTTGGGAAAATATAGTAAATTAATGTCATAGAAATAAGCAAGTTTGAAATTGATTTCTATTGTATTTTTTATTTAAGCCTTGTTTTTTTTTCTTAAGGCATGAGTTTTTACAGCTTCGCACTCCCTTATTTTTCAAGAGATTATTATCTAACAGACCCAAACGGGCAAAGGTAATATTTAACTCAACGATTTATTTTTACTGGTACATTTGATTTTTTTTTTTTTTTTTTTT